TCAGTTTGTTCAATAATGCTTAATTTTTCTATTTACATGTTTCGATTGGGATGAGTTGTTTACCGATGCATTTTTTGATGTGAAAAGCTTCTGGGTGAGATGAATTTAAGTAACCTCGAAACACTGTTCGAAAAATAATAAACAATGATATCGACTACTTGAAAAAAAAAAACTATGAGCAAATTTTAAATATTATTCGATAATGCACGTAAATATAAATACAGAAGGTCGTTCTCCCTTTGTGGAAACGATTTTGAAAGTTAATCTTTAGCAATAAATGCCGTACTTTTTGTGGTGATTTACTTCTATCTAATAGTTATGATTCTTGACAATAGCTATAGCTCGAATTTTTCATTAAAATAAGCTTTTTCTTAGTACTGTTATGAAAATTTTACTCCATTCCTCTTGAACCGTTTTACAAAGTCAGTTCAGTGCTCCTGGATGCCGTTTTATTGAGGTTAGTTTTAATAAACCGAAAGAACAAAAGTTCATTGCAGAAGCGTAGGGTGATTTTACACGTATTTCATCAAATGGTATACTCTTTATTCCTGTTTCTGATTCTTTCTTTGCTAAATAAGCGGCAGTTGATTTAGAAGTGTGACTAGAGGCTTTGTCCAAATGAAGCTAAAATTTATCAAAGTCCGTTCCATGTAAAGTAGGAAATTTTTCTTCAAAAATTGGTTCTGAAATATTCTGCAGATAGTAGAGTGAATTAATCTTGGCTTTACTTCAGACTTTTTTGATTTTTAATTTACCGTTGTTAAAAAATCCTGTAACTATCATAAATCCCTTTCGGAATTTTATTGTAGACTGACGAAGCCATTTCGTGCAGTCATTCTCATTAGTTGTCCAATATAAAATTGATCTTCTTTTACTACAGTCACTTAAATATACCAATACCTCATCGAGTATTACCACAAATTTCCATTTTTCAGCAGCTATGAGTTTTTTTAAATAATTTTCTACAATTTGCTTTTCGTTCAGCTATATGTTTTAAAAAAGGAAACGAACTTTAGGTTTAAACATTTGTTTTAACTCTTTAAATCCTTATGAATGATTTTAATTACTGTTCCGGAAGACATTCCTGATTTCGATGCAATGAATCTTTGAGTTGAGGGATTTTCTTTTAGGATCAGAGCGTTGCCTGCGTTTGAACAGTCTTAGGACGAAGTTTCGTAGTCATATTTTCGTTTTTACTTTCAGCTGGACGCTTTTTCCCTTTCAAGTTCAATATATCATAAATACCTTTGATTGAAACGCAACAACCGAAATTTTTACACCGCTTTTTTTTTTTAATTTGTTGATATGAATATTTCTCCTTGGAAAGCGTAATTAAGTAACTTTCGAGCCATCTATCATTTTCAGGAGCCCTTTTTAAAATAAATTTTCTATTTTACATTCCAATCAAAAGAAAACCTTAGCCGACGATTATTCTGAAGTTGCCAAAGTTTTATCTCAAAATGCAAACGAAAAAATAAATTACAAAATCGTTTCCATAACGTGTGAACGACCTTCTGTATTAATGTGAATACTACATTTTTCACCGGAAAAGTTGTTGAAATCACAGAATATATTTTTTTTTCCATGTTATAGAATGACATTCCAAAAAAAAATTGAAAATTCGAATTATAACAAGCGCGTTTAAAGTTTTTCCTTTCATTTTTACTTGTGAAAATGAAATATTTGATTTTATCTTTTGCGAAAAAAAACCCATATTTTTGTTTTCAATTAAATATTTTCTATTTCAATTTTTCCAAACTTTTCCTTTCTTTGTTCTTGCTGCGGAATAATACTGATATAAGACTGAATAATAAAGATATTGGATAATGTTCGATGATAAATATTATAAAATGTTCATTAAATGTTATTTAAAAAATTACAAAATTACATTTATAATAAATATTATTTAATAAGTTTATTCCATTACTTGACCGATTTTTCAGCCAAACCGGGTGTGAAATTGTTACATCAACAAATCAAACAAATCATGCTCTTTTTTCAATTCCTTCTTTAGTTCACTCTCTCCCTATATATATATCGTTCAAATTTTCAATCGTTAATAAAATACTTTCCATTCATCCATTCAAAGTAGGAATTGACTTAAAAAAATGTTTTTATATTACTTGTTATAACAAGTATTTCTTAGCAATGTCTTTTTTTTTAATGAATTATTTTATCGTTTTGATTTTGCTTAAAAGAAATAAGTTTTTCAGTTTTAGAAAGAAAGAAATAAGTTTCTTTTACAGTTATTAACTATAGCATGCACACACCATTTTTGGCCACTCGATATAAATTTAAGAAGTTCAATTTCTACAATGACTTGTAATTTTATGATAAATTTTCAATGTTTGTTTTCAACAATTCATCGTAGGCTTTGTTACTAACTACGGAATTCAAACAGACTGAAACATAACTCCGCCTATGTTACTAGATACTTTGAAATTACTCTGAAAAAAATTCCGATATTTTTTCGACATTTATTATTTACTGAGCCAAAAAATAGCAAAAGTGGATTTATTATTAAATGATGTCTAAGAAAACATGATTTACCATTTTAGGTTCATTGCAAAATTCCAACAATTAATACAATTGAAATACCTCATCTTATTTCATTGTAGATTTAATAATGGATCAATCGTTAAATATCTGTTAAAGCAGCTTAATTTTATATATCTTAAACATCTACACCGAAAACTCTTACACACCTATTTTCGTCTAATTATATAGATTTCATTTAAATGAATATTTTCTAATATCACATTTATAATACTTTGAAATTCGCTTTTTCAATTGTTTTATTCTTTTAAGAGCTGATAAATCAATGAATGATAGACAACTTACTTATAGATAGATCAGAAATTAAGGACTTCATTATCCTTTTAAAAATTTGCCTCTCATATTTACAAAATTTGAGGGGGAGGGTCAATTTCAATTGTGGGAGCACTCCAGTATAGTCCATTTTCCCCGGTTTTAATTTATCTTAATCATTTTCAGTTCACACTTGCCAAAACAGAAAAGACTTTCTAATTTTTTTAAACTATTCATTTGGCTTTTTTTTTCTGTCAACATTGAATAACTGAATTTTTTTTAATACTTAGGTACATTTTTTCCATACACATTTTTAAATTTTTGAAGCTTATTGCATCATTTTTTCCCCAAAATAAAGCAATTTTAAGTATGATTTCTTCTTTGAAACGCATACAATCTTTCGAAATCTGATTTGTGCTTTAAAGGTTAAAAATTACTTTAATTTATTCTATATATTACGCAATAAATTTACTGTTTATTAGTGTATCTGTATTTTGCAGAATTCTTTTCTTTTTTTCTTTTTTTACATTAAAAAACTTCCTTTCCTTCAGTTCATTTCGCTAAAATATTGCTAAATTCTCACTACACAGTATTCATCATAAAAAGAAGGAAAAAAATACAAAGCATAATCATTAGAACTTTTTACCCATACAGATATTACCCTTTTTTTTTTTATTTTGATAAAAAACAAAACAAAATTGAGAGAAGGAGGACAACATTTTTTCCTCTTAGAATCAAACAGTTTCATGGCTTTTCAGCCTTATAAGTTCTAATAAATATATAACAATTACAAAAGAACATTAAATAATTCGAAAATATACGTAATGATTCCCAAAACTTTATGGCGCGAATGAAATAAACCAATCTAAAATATTAATCAGAATTCGATTCATTCCTCTTGGCAAACCTAATAACCGGAATTACGTTTAAGACAATAAGCATGAAAGGACATTATCGAAAAGATATACTTTTAAAGAAACTTCCCAACAGTAACCAAGACTTTCGGAATTTTCCCAAACTGGTAATTAAAGCAGATAATAAAAAAACGAAATCTAGGAAGGGTAATGATTAATCTTCCAGCAGTTTCACTGAAGGGTTATCGCCCCGAATGAACTGAGCAACTTCAGTCTTGGAAAGCCTCCAAATTTTCAGAGAAACAAATTCTTTTAAAGTGAGGACAATTTAACAGAGAAGTTTAAAGAAGCACTATCTGTTGCACAGCAAATTCAGTAACAGTGAATAGGAAATTTTTATCCTTTGTTGTGAAAAGTTAGAATTAATTCCTCTCTCTTTCTCATTAGTTAAAATTCAACTTTCTTAGTTTAATACTACATAATCGAATTCCAATTCAGAATGTATTTTGCAGATGGAAAAATAGCTGCGGTAGCCTAGTGGTTGTGGTCACGGTCTCGTGGCCGGAGTTTCATGAGATCGAGCCTAGAGCCACTGAAGACCAGCTGTGTAGAAGGGCTGATGCACGTTTAATCTGTCGAAGCTCAATGTCCTCCTATTGGAGTGGTGTTGAAGTTCGAGAGGGGGTGCCAACTTAGATGTCATCCACGACACTTGACCATGGTTCAAAATGAAGAGATCCGTTGCCAACAGCCCTCGTGTGGCCTTATTGTGTAACGTTGATATATATTCACTTACTCAGATGAAAAAATATTTTGATATCAATATGTTCGATGGCCAATTACCAATCAGCCCGTTTGTAGTATAACGAGTTCTAAGAATTTCATAACATTCACTATTTATGAACTTTTAGTTTTTCATCTAATGCAAAATAAATTTTTTATGTGTGTTAATATACAGCAGAGATAAAATATATTATATGGAAATGAAAGGTAAAAGAGAATAATTCAAACAGAGGAGCATTGTGTATATTGCAAAATATTTTATTTAATCTCTATAAATTAGAAATATGTATGATAATAATATTGGGCATTTTTCCACATAACACAAGTAAAATAAAAATAAAAAATTTAAGTCAATTCCTACTTAGGTCAACAACGAAAAATTTTATTTTAGTTCCTTTTTATTAAATAATTACAATTAATATTTTCCATTTTCCTTTCTATAAAGGGTGTTGGACTATTACATTTTTGTTTGTTACTTTTTTTTTCATTCATTCAATTTCATTATTCCAATAAAATAGTACAGTAAAAAGGAAATCGCATTCTCTGAAATTAGATCATCCCAGGTGGGATTCGTACCCACGACCTTTGTGTTAGAAGTACAACGCGCTATCTTTTGCGCTACAGGGACAAAACGAACAATTTTCTTTATTATATATGGTGTTGGACTATTATTTTTTGTTTCTATGTATTCATTTTTTAATTTAATTAATGAATTAATATTTGAAAAAAATGTGTTTTAACATCCAAGTGTCATCTACTACACGTTTAAAAAATGTATTTGAACTTGAATGGATGAATAGAAAGTATTTTATTAACGATTGAAAATTTGAACAAGGTATATATGTGTGTGTGTATATATATATATATATATACTCAATTCCCCAACTAGAGAAAAAATAAATAAACCGATCATTTCTGTTATGGAATTGCATCTAGACTTCTAGTTACGACAAAACAAAAAGAAAAAATATTGTTTGAATATTACTGAAATAAATTAATGCATTCAGTTGCATTAATACAGATGGGTTGCTTAAATTAAGGTTAGGATTAAAAATGGTTATATTTTTTAACTTTAAATTTCGAATAAGAGGCTTCATATATTGTTCTCTCGTGTATACACACGAGATATATACTTCTCCCTCTCTTTCTTTCTCTCTCTCTCTCTATTTTCTCTCTGTCTCTTTTCTTCTCTCTCTCTTTTCTTTCTCTTCCTCATTTATCTCTATATCCCTCTCTCTCACTTTCAGTCTTTCTTCCTCTCCCCTTTTTCTTTTTTCTCTCTCAATCTCACTCATTCTTTCATGTCTTCCTTTTCTCTTCGTCTCTCTTTCTCTCTCTCTCGTCTATATATCTCGTCCGAACCTTTCACTCTCTCCCACTCTTTCTCTGTCTTTTTCTGTCCTTTCTCTCTCTCTATTTTTCTCACTCTCTCTTCCAACCACTTTCTTTCTCACTCTCTTTGGAACCCTCACACGAACAAAAGAAACAAATCAGTCCCGGAATTATTTGGCAAGCATTAAAACTAGAACAAAAAGCAAAATATATTGTAAACACATTAAATTTTGTAGTCTGTTTTGCGGTCATTACAAAGCAATTTATAAAATAAACTATAAAAAAGTGATTTATTGTAGATATGATACGGTTTGCAATTCCGTGTTATATTTTCATTCCCGGGATTTCAGGATTACATTATCCAAATCGCCGGATTGGTCCCGGGATTAGAATTGGATTATTTATGAAAAATACACATATTAACATGGTTGAAATTACATAATAAAACTGAAAACGTAATTAAAAAAATTGGCTTATTATTGTTATTTATTGAAACAAATCAAAATAAAACTTAATTTATCATAAAAAACAAATAAAAATAGTATATAATAAAATTTAAAAAAAAAACATTTCTTCATCTCTTGGGTTTATGTAAATATAAGCTTTTAAAAAATACAGCTGGTCCAGCGTTTCATCGTTTAGACGGCTTATTTTTGTTACAAATTGTCCTGCCGTAGAAAATGCTCATTCAGACTCATTCTAGTATGTTTTATTGTCATTAAATAGGAGTATGTTCTTTTCGGATAGTCACCACGTCTACCTCCATTTTCAACAAGAGACATTTCTTTTTGAATTTTCGATGACAGTGTCACAAATTGTCAAATTGTTATCAAAGTGTCATATCCCACTTTGATAACTTATTTGGTTCTTCTGCTACACTTAATGGTTTTTGTGTTCAAATTGATTCAATTATTGAATCAGAATTTGGGTCAATTTCAAGTGTTACCTCATTTGAAATAGAAGATCCAGTTGCATGAGCTATTAGTAATGCAGTAAAATTTGAAGCGTCAAGTCTTTCAAGCAAGTCCGCAATTAGTTTACGGCATTTAATATGAAGAAAGGACTGTGACAAAATCTATTCCTGAGACGTTACTTATACCATTGTGTAAGTATTGCAGTAAACCACATACATCTGCGCAACGTTCTCCCATACGATAAATGAGAGAGTTGCATATAATTTTTACTTATAGCACTTATAATTGCACACAAAAAAAATTATACGTGCATAGTTCATATGATATATATATATATATATATAGTAAAATAAAATAAAAGTGAAGAAGTACTAGAACCTACAGTTCTAAAGCAGGAAGAAATTGGAATTCACCAGACACAACAAATGTAGATACAAAAAAGGTCTTTGGACTAAACTGGAGACCTATAATGATTTCTAATTAGGGTTAGCAATGCTTTATGGATCCAACCTTCCCCGTACAGCAGAAATTTTCGACATGATAGGGGGGAAAAAACCCACCCAAGTTGAAAAGTTAAACCTAATACAACACGTGGAAGAAAAACCTGATAATATATTAAAATGAAATCAAGAAAAGAGAACAATAGTGAATCTCTCAAGGAGAGGAATAATAAAAAAATTTATATAGAAAAAATTAGGATAAAAACTTACATGTAAAATAAAAACTGGAAATCGAAAATATATATATAAGTTTTCTAAGAATTAAGTTCTTACAAAATTGTGATGAGAAAAAGAATTTCAAAACATAATTCAGACAAAAATAAAATGCCTGGATTAGCTATTTTAATCACAGGTTTAAAGAGACACTGGGATCTCGGGGATGCAAATCCTAGGATATTGCAAAATGTAGACCAAAATAAGAATGTAGTAATAATGTAAAACAAATGCAATTTAATGAACAATAAAAACGCAAATAACGATAAGTAATGAATACAAACTAAAATATCTGGAGAAGCAGTTTATACTCTTGAGTTAAAGAAAAACAATGCGCGTGTCCGTGAACGGATAAAAATATATTGGTTAATCAAAAATCGATAAGAAGCGACTCGGGAAACATGGGGGAACGATATCGGCTCTTCAAAAGTAAAGTAACTTTCAAAGAACAATTAGGTATGATTGATTCGCCAAGTCAATAAAATGAGAATATTTAAATAGACAGGGCTGTTCGTACAGTTATATGCAGTTAAAAGCAAAAGAGCGTGAAATCTCCTTTCGAAGTACAAGCAATTTGTATCAGACAAAATAAGATTGCATTAAGGATGGGAAAATGTGACACAACCACCTGTTAAATAATGATTTTTTTCCGAAATTTTACAATATATTTTTATTATTATAAGTAGAAAATTTTTACTAAAATGGAATCATCAGAACATTAAAGAAAATCTGGAAAAATATTATCGAAAATTATCCATTGCAAGCAATGGACAACAGTGTATAAAAAATAAAATAAGAGAATATTTGTATAAGGGAAAGTTCTGTAGATTTTGAACACGTTCACTTTTATGCGTTGTCCGTCCTTAGCAAGAATTAGGATCCAAATGAAACTGGTTTAAGGTATCCGACTACGTTCGGAATCGTGATTTTGCAAAAGCGTATAAATGGATAATATTTACGATATTTAGTGTCACTTAGATTGTAAAATGTATATAAAATTATTTTAAGAATAGTATTACAGTAAAAAATTATTTAAGTACACTATTTTGACAAAAAATGAACATAGAATGACCCATTTTCAAAATATTCTCCTTTTGTGAAAAATGCTTCTATTATAATAATGTTTTGCCTATTTATAGCTCAGACCTCTGTACAGAGGCTCAACTAGAAGTTTTGAAATATATAACTTAGAAGTGGGTTTATCTTTTTTTTCGACAATAGAGGGGAGAAATTTTAAGAAAAACACGCCCATAATTATTTCAATGGGTTATAACTCTGAAAATAATATGAATTTTTCAAAATCATAGTTGAGTCTCTGTACAGAAGTCTGAGCTATATACAGGTAAAATATTATTATATAATAGAAGCATTTTTCACAAAAGGAGAACATTTTGAAAAAAGGTTATTCTAAGTTAATTTTTTGCCGAAATATTGTATTTAAATAATTTGTTTTGTCAAAATTTCCTTAAAACAATTTTATACATGTATTCTAATCTAAGTGACACTAACTATCATGAAAATTATCCAATTATAAGCCTTTTTAAAATCACGGTTCCGAACCTAGTAGGATACCTTAAGCAGTTAGATGAGAATACAATTGATAATTTATACACAATTTTTTGAATATTAGTCATTTTTTTTATTTTGTAAGACTGTCAACATGAGTGCAGGAAAATTGCACTTTAGACGTGTACGTTGTTTGAGTTTCAAAATGGGAATAACACGATGGAGGCAAAAAGAAACTTGTGTGACGTGTTTGGAGAAGAAGCAGTAACAGCTCGAACATGCCAAAGTTTCGCTTGGATGATTTTTCTTTGAAAGATGAACCCAGATTAGGAAACTATCAGATGTCAGTGACGAAGTGCTACACAAAATGATCAGGACACAAATCCCACGTTAACTTCCACAGAAAAGCTTAGAAAAACTTTCTTCAAACTTAGAATTCATCATACTACTTTGGATTACATTAAAAGGCTTGGTTTCGTGTCTAAACTCTTTGTTTTGATGTCCCATGAATTAAAAGAAAAAAAAATTTAATGGACAGAATTTCGATTTATTCATCAAATATTGCTTGTCACAAAAGGGAACAGTTTTTGGATCACTTGGGGACTGGAGATGAAAAGTGGATAGTGTACAAACACGTGGTTAGAAAAAAAGCATATGTTTACAAAGCGGAGACACCATTCACATCCATAGCTTGCGAGCATCAGAAGAAGGTTAAGTTGTGTTGTTGGCGAGACAGCAAGGGTATAGTACACTATGAATTGAAGAAAGAAAATGAAACGGCAGTTACTTTTCGCAACTTGATGTTTTGAATGAAGAAATTCAATATAAACGTCCATCTTTGGTCAACGAAAATGGCATGATTCTTCATCAAGACAACGATAGACTACACGTGGCAAGAAACACTGCATAAAAAAACTGCAGAGTTGATTTGCGAAACTTTACCTCAGAGCCACATCATATACTCCTCATATTGTACCATCTGACTATCATCTGTTTCAATCGCTACAA